TAAAAGCACAAATAATCACAGGGCACACCTTCTACCTATACTCATCATATCCTGCATCTACTGTAGTAACCCTTTCAAAATGGTGTTAGCCTTCCAAAAACATGCACAGTGTCTGTGCCTTTCATAGAGGAAACCCTACAGACATGATTAGCCAGGCAGCACTGACACCAGCAGCTGCAAAAACAAATTTACCATCGGTGCCTCACAGGTGCTGAAGCAGGCTGATTATCTGTGGAGATGTGTGCAGTGTTGTAGGACTTGGACTTGAGTCCAGATTTTCATGTTTGGCAGGAGTTTGAGTGTCAGGTTCATAAACAGAGAATCTAGTGCTGGAGTCATTTATCTGGTATTTGTATTTATAAAACCCTTCCTGGTTTGTGGTTTGCAGCCTTATCTGTGAAAGGAATGCACACATTAGGCTGACAATGTCACAGGTCCTTCTCGATTTCAGGCTCAGTGTCAGAGATGATGCAATGACTTCAGTGTCAACAGAGTCAAATGGTTAAACATGACTTTTTACTAGCTATCATTTCTCACATGTAGGTTGGCCCACTGCCATGGTTATGTATGAACTGGAGTAAAACCTGGGTGGTAGAAAGCTCTGGTGTCTGTAAGTACGAGGGATCTTTTTTCACTCGTCAGAGCTGTTGCATCAAAATAATCTTTACTCTCTCCACCAAAAGTATTAACAAGTATGGAGAGAAAATGGTAAGCATACTGGATGGTAAATGAACTGCACTTCCATGAAGCCTACACTCCACCTTTCCATAAATGTTTTTTATGTATGAAACTGCTGAGCAATATGGTGATGCAATACATAAAAGGTTCCATTAACTGAACATCTTATGTAATTGATTATAGTGCATTTTGTTTAATTCATTTCAGTCTGAAATGTAAAGTTATCAAATAAATGTAGTAAGTGCAAAGTACAATATTTGTCTGTAAAATGTAATGGCATTTGAAGTAGCAGAAAGTGTAAATACTCAAGGTACACATACCTCAAAATTGTACTTAAGTACAGTACTTGATTAAATGTACTTAGTTACTTTCCATCTTGCCATTACTGGATAACCAGTTCCACCATCTGAGCCCCTGACCCCTGTCTTTTGGTCCCTAAATTAAACAAGAAATAAAGTCACCAGTTTGAACCCTGAACTAGTAGGGGACTTCTGCCTCACTTGCCAGCATCCTTGATGCACTTTTGAGAAATAAGGCTTTCAAACCCGTAAATCCTACAGTGGTCCAGAGATAAGACTAAGGTTGAGCGGGACAGCTTCCAGGTGTGTCTTATTTACTCAGGGCACTAAAAACGAACTAATCTGTGTCATGACTCAAGTGTTCAAACCTATGAAATCAAAATGTTGGTATCATCATTCAAATGCTCATATCAGGCCTTTTTCAAGTTGGACAAGTGAACTGTTTAAATAACGTGTGGGAAGTTTTCAACTGTCCAAAGGTTGTTTTGTTATTACAGCCATCTGCCTACTCTCAAAACCTGTGATACTGACATTCTTGATTAAACCAGAGCAGGCAGCGGAAAAGGACAATCAGTAAAACATCACTGGTCAGACCTGACCTTTGCCAGTACAATTAGGCAGTCATTGTTACTCTCACTTGATTTTTTTGTTTTTGCCTCTACCCATAATATAAACCAGTAAAGCTGTATCTGCCTTCAGAGCGTCTCTTCTTTTGAGAAATATATGTAAAAAAAAGGTTAATATTGTCATGATCCCAAACACACTTTCACAATGGAAAACCATTTATCTTTGCACAGTAGCTTGTCTTGTTTACACAGCGCTACTGCTTTGCCATATCCAGAGCCTTCAGAACAATTATTGTATGATGTTTGTGTGATAATGGTTTGTAAATCTTTGAATACAACAGACTTTAACTGCAAAAACGTGACTATATTTGGTTTATACTGAAAACAAAGCAAGCTTGAAACACACAAGAGGAAAATTAATCTTTCAACTCACCTGGAACGGTCAGACTCAGCTGCTGTCTTTCAGTTTAGCTTTCTGCAACTCATTTAAACCTGTGCTGTGTGTTAGACACTCAGTGAGACGTCACTGGACACTGGATGAATTAGCTTGTAGCAACTCTGTTATTCTCTCTCTCTCTTTCTTTAGGCGTGCCTTTCTCTCGATCTCTGTGTGTGTGTGTGTGTGTGTGTTTTGTGTGTGTGTGTGTGTGTGTTTTGTGTGTGTGTTTTGCTCAGGAATGTGAGAAATGTTAGGGAACCATTTCCTTTGCCTCATAAGCTCCACATTTTAAAATATGGCTCGGTGACTGAAAACAACCTCTAGGCAGAGGAAACAGGAAAACTGTCAGCACATTTAGAAATGTCATTTTGTGACATGTTTATGGATTTAAAAAAAATCTGTCTTACATCTGACAGGTACTGTACATGTACAATTTATTATGATTGTGGAAAATAACTGTGGCTGAACAAACAGAAGAAAGGAAAAATAAAGAAAGGCTTGAAGATGTGTTGAAAAATTGGCTGCTATTTTCCAGATGATCTAACTGCAGAATCATGGAATCTGAAGTCACTCATGAAGTCTGAGTGTGCAGCGTTGCCTGAGCAGGCAGAGACACAAGTGAAAACACCTCAATTTTCAAATCAGTTATATTTGTATAGTGCCAAATCACAACAAAAGTCATATCAGGACACTTTACAAAGTAAAGTCTAGACCTTATTATTATTACTATTATGGCTAAAAACTCAACAAATACCCCCTTGGGCAGCACATGGTGACAACAGGGAGGAAAAACTCCCTTTAACTTCCAGTCTATTCAAAATATGGTCAGGACATTAGTCTGATGGGTTGGCTCAGGTCCAGTGTCATGTTTGTTTCCCCATTAAACATATTTTTCACATCTTAACCCGAATCTACAATGCCCATCCCCAATCTAACCTCAGCCCTAACCCCAACTGCAGAGGTTCTGAAGGTATAATACAGGGAATGTATTCATTATTGCATGTCTGTTATGCTTTGCTACACTGGATCTAGCAGGATGCCAAACCAGCCTCAGTACAGTATGTACTCCAGCTAGCAGGTAGCTGTAACAGGAATTTAAGTAATTTCACTCTAATTAGTCTTAGCCTAAATAGTCAGGTGATGAAGTTTTTGTGGATTAGAGTTCAGAAGGACATTTTCAGCATGCTTTCATTTTTATGCAGACTTAAGTGTAGCGGCATTCACCAGAAAATAGGTGTGGACAGTAAGAGGCAGAGGAAACCATGTGGGCCTGAACCACGAGTACTCCACATGCTTAAATTGAAATGATACATCTGTGACAACCAGTGCATCTGAAACATCTACAGGACACACTGTCAGCAGTTTGACAGATTCTGGGCAGCAGACTCAAATCTGTCTCCATGTCTTGCTCATTATGCTGAGAGACATGACATCTGGAAACAATTTAAATATAACATGGTTTCATTTATTTTCTGGGCACTGGCTAAACTCTGTATCTGTCTTTATGCCAGCACAGCCACTGAGAAGACTGACATGTGAACCTCTCCTCTAGATATGTGTTTGAGTGCATAAAAGAGACCATGTTTGCATATGTGTGTTGCCGATAACTGCGGAACAATGAATGTGTCAAACCAATTGCAAAGGGGGATTTATATTTAATGGTTCTTTGTGCTGATGTGTGTCTAATTTCAGTTGGAAAATAAGAACAGAATTAGTAGGCAGAACACTGTTGGAAAACAGTGAGCTTGCAGAGTCATACTCATAGCCCTCAATAAAAGCAATTCTTTGTTCTTTTGACAAGCTCTGGAAGCGACTGACTGGTGCAACAGGCTGATTTTATGCCAGAAGGAAGAAAGCGTTGTTTACAATACATGTGTCAGAAAAAGCTCAGTTTTAACAAGAGGCTTGTGATGAGTTTGAGGATGTAAACCTTTGTCCTGGGCTTGGTGCTAGAAAAAAGAAGAAGCATGAATGTGTTGATTTAAGTGCAATGTGCCTGTTAAATGTAAGTACTTTATACTCAATGTAGAGTCTTGACACAGGAATGAGGATTCAAAAATATTATTTCCACAGCCCCCAGCCAAGGATCTCGTCAAGGGCATGCTTCCTGCTTCCAGACATCCTACAATAAGTTACTAAATGAAGTTAATAACGGCTCAGCTAAAGGCCAAATTAGATTAAAATTCTCATTTGGGAATTTAACTAATCCCCTAAATCAGTCGATCCAGTAGATGTTGTGCTGTTTCTCAGGATAAGTGAAAACTTTAACCTGCTGATTGATGATCCCTTGGATTGTCCTGTACCACAAAGTCAGTAGGATTTATACTCTGGGGACCATGACAGTCTCTACAAAACATCCCATCCAATAGTTGTTGTCACTTGCAAACATGAATGTGAGCCAACAGCATAACAAGATCTGAGAAAATGGTCGGCACCGGGCATTAATTCCTGTAGTGAGAACACAGCTACTGTGTCCACCAGACACCAGTTTTATCAAGCTTTCTCTCATTGTGTTTGCTTGGCATGGTCATTACTGTAGGCTGACTCATTTGTTTTATTTTTCACTCTCATAACTTCTGTTTTATGATTTATGACTCATCTGACTGCAAACATTTATCCTGGAACACACGACATTGTTTAGAATTTACAGCCGTTTGGGAAGTTACCTCTGACTCAGCTCTGTTTTCACTTTGTGAGTGAACACTGCTACTGTGCTGTGTCTGTCTGTTGTGCTCACTGACTCTATATTTAGTCTGGTTTTTTTTTCAGCTATTTATCAGTCGTGATCGAAACCTGTCATGCTCTCTGCTTAGGGCCAGTCAAGGTTGGTTTGTTCTTTCTGGGAATCTTGATCATTTTCTCAGCTGACCTACCTTGTTATGTGCCAGCTGACCTGAACGCTGGGAGGGGCTGTACTGACTGAAATCCAGAACACTCTCATTGTTTTACCCTGGTACAGTATGTCCGGGCTTTGTAATAGAAGTTAGGGACTGTTGACTTTATTGATTATAAAGTTTCCAGGTACTTTGTGGAGCACTTGTTTTCAGCCTCTTCTACCCTGCGCACAGTGTTCAGGGCACATCACATATGGCCAGCAGGCATTCGCTGAGACATTTTTCCCCTTGTTAAATATTTTGGCATTGGATTAACAACCAATTTAAATTCTTTATATTAAATGGGACTTGCATTTAATTGATTTTTAAAGTTCAAGTTGGGAAACATTTGCTTTCTCCCTGAGAGAAAGATCAATACCACTCTCTCTCCTCTGTGCAATGAATTGTATATACTGTATGTGCACAGTAGCTCAAGCCATAAGCAATTAGCCTAACTTGCAGTAGATTGGTTTACTGAAGAATAGTTCCATATCTATACTTATCATCTCAATTTCCTCAGCTTAAAATTACATAGCACATTCCAAAACTATTCCTTTAACAGAAAAGCTGGAAGACTGAGGTTTTCCACTGGTTTTGGTGATTCAGCTTACAGGTCAAATTAGCAGTCATATCGCAGACCATCAGTTCTTCATTGGGTTACAGTTACTGAGAGCTGCTGATTGTATTTAGGGCACTATCAATACCTGCTTGAACCAATTTCTGAAATAACATATCCTCTGTTTAGATCACTGTGTGTGTCCCGGTGCGTCCTCCTGCTCATATAGCTAAGAAAAATACTGTATACAGATCTTTGTTTTCATCTTTGTTATGATATTCTTTCAAAAACACTGCACACAAAAATTATTTTTATAAAATGTAGTGCCACTACAACTATTTTCAGTGTGGGCACAGCAGCACTCATGTCAAATTTGTGCAGTGAAAACAAAAGATCAACTATATAAGTATGGAGCTACATGTAAACCTTTGTGCCATCTAATTTGTTCAGTGTGGTCATTAAAATGTGATACTGGCCTGTCTGAAAGTGAAAGAACTCATAATCCAAAGTTCATTTTCTTTGACAGACCTAATTAGCACACATGCAATCAGCCCCAGAAATAGATTTCATTCATCCATTTGGGGCACAGAGTTCAATTCATCATAAGATTAAGAGGAAAAGCAGCAGTTTCACTAAATACTCTTCAGTTTCAGAAATGGTTATTAAGCTATAAAGCATTCATCAGCCTGAGAGTCCTTTCCCAAGTCCTGTGACTGTATATAGTCTGCTGAAAGATGCTGTGACATCATGGTGGAACGCTGGAGCAGGCAGGTTTGACACCTGTGTTGCATTAGTGCTGATTAGTGGAGCTGATGGCTCTACACACTCATAACATGCCGTTGACTGGGGAGGCTACAGCAGAACAGCTGCAACAGGGTGGAAGTAACAGTGCAATTCAAACTGGCATGCAGGTTCAATTAAGCATTAACCAATATAAGCTGGATTTATGACTCAGTTTTGAAGCCTTAACCGTGCATATCCTTTGCAGTGTTTTTTCCAGTACTCCAAATACTGGCCAGCAGATGGTGATGTAACCTGCTTGTCTTGACTGGGACGGCCAACTGAGTGTCAACCATCTTGTGATCCGGTGTGTGAAGCTTTCACAATATTATGATTATGTTAAAGTTGACATGCAGCTGCATATCATTTGCGCTGTTGTCTCAATATTTCGTTGAGACTGACTAATTAAAATGAGCAAAATTAACATACAGTAAAGCATATTATTGATCTATATTATATCAATAGATGTCTTCATATTCAGAATGAAACATCAGTCCTAATGCACCCTTAATTAATCCTTAAACCCCTCCAGAAAACACAAGGAACACTGTCATTTAAATCAAGTTTGGATTAGCAAAAAATCCCTTAATTTGTCAATCATTTGGATTAGGCCTATATGTAAAAATTCTGAAAACCTTAAAACCTCTGCAAGAGCCCAGAATTTATTGCCCACTAACACTAATACACACCACACTGGTACTTTCCCCTGAAATCACACATTTCAAATATTTGACAAATATCAGCTGAGTGGTTTTTAGCATTTGGGTTTATATTCATGATCAGAGATATTTTCAGGTGCAAATATTTTTCGTGCTTTTTATTCAGTTTTCAATGGGTTTACCACAAGTGTATGAGAAACAATAGAATAAAATTGAGGATTGCAATGTGTCACTGGTTTTTGGAAGGGTTTACTGTACATATTAGGACATTTAATCTGGTAAGAACATCTATTCACACTAGGTTATTTGTAAGAAACAAATCAATGGACAGCTTTAAAGGTTTTTTTTTCTCTTTAAAAAGCCCTTAACCTGTTGAGAAAAATCACTGAAAATATGGGAACATACGGCATCCATTATTTAGTCATTAATCATTCACAACAAAGGAATTCAGTATCATAGTCATTTCAAATATAGACAATAAATTATTTTTTTATACATATATTTTATTCATTTTCACCGCACATGTTCAGGGAAACACATGTCAATATGGATTTGTTACATGAATATCTATTGCACTAAAGATATTGTGATTTAAAAATACAGGTTATGAGATGGCATTAGACTGGCACCAATATAAATCTCTTTTTTATAATAGAGTTTGGCATGTTACTTTTAAAATTAGATATATCAAGACATAGAACTGTGGGCACACACCATGTATAGTACTTGACACTTAACACCCCAGAGCAAACAAAACAGCAGCCCGCTCCACTTGACGTCAGTTCTGTTATGGCAGATAGCGTGAGCCAACAAAATGGTTTCCTGAAGGCAAATCAAGAGCTTGCTTTGAAGGAGATTAGCTTTTACTGGATTGGCGGACGGTGATGAATGTGAGTGAGCAATAAAGCAGCTGTGTGAATATCCATATCAAAGCAAGGACTTGAAAAGAGTGGGGATGTGGTTTAAAGAGAGCAAGTGTTGGTAAATGCTAAATATTGTAATTTCAAGTGTGTTACATAGGAAAGTGCGGATATTGAAGCAAAGTCTTATTGAGTGGAGGATGATGTCTGGGAAACTAAATGAATTTTGGAGGCCTGATTCCACCTGCTTTAGGACCAGTGTGTCTCCTCATGAACAGGGGACACATCACAAATTGGGTTTAATCCTCTGTGACACATGGTGAGAAAAACCCCTCGCTGTGTCACAAATCCAATGTATAGCCTATACCACTTCAGTTTTAGTTTGTTCAGGAAAATGATTTACGCTTAAAAAATAAAATGTTGAGAATTTGAAAATAAAAATAATCAAATGGTCCATGGTGATGACAAATAAGTGGTAGATAAGTGAAAATATTTCTGCTTGGCAACTGTGGCTCTTACTCTGAAAAGGCTTCTCGACCTACTGTGGCTTAGACAGTACTTCATTTATACATCACTTCAAATGTCTGCCACATTAATACAGTATCTCTTAAAATGTTTTCAAATTTGACATTGGCAATAGTTTCAACACATATTAGCACATTGTATTATTTGTACAAATGGTCAGCTACACTAACTTCTTGTGTACCTAGCTGCGAAAAATCTTAGTGCTGTTGACATAATGCACCACTGTATACAGTAGTTTCCTTTTTTGGTGACTGTTTGCTTTTTCACAGCACTACGTTTCATGTACTATTCACTTATCTGAAGGCTGTAGTCACAGATGAGGATTTGGATAAAAATGTTGGGCTCCGAAATGCAAAATGCTGCTGACAGCACACACACACTTGTCTGGCCAGTGATGGACCTAATTTCTTAGTTTCCAAAACTAAATGCACCTTTGAATGCTGGACTTTTGCTTGATATTACAATTAACACTAGTTCTGGCCAGTGTGTTGTGGTAGTAGTACCAGTCCTCATAAAGCAAAATGACGTTCATCCGTACTTTCCAACATAGGTTCAGGATACCACAGTTGCTTGGTCAGGGGAAAGAATCACAGTTGTGGTTAAACTAAACCAGTGCTAGTGGCAGAAAACAAGACAGGAATCATGGTCTCCTATCGCAAGCTCACACCACCTACCAACCATCCACTGCCATCTCATAGGTTTTCCACTGGTACCATTGTGATTGTGTCTTTGCTACTTAGAGAGTAAAGTCATGATCTACATGACTGTAGGAAGTCACTTGTTAGGAAGAGCTAAACATACAGCTAGTTGTGTTTGAACAAAAGCAGTAGTGTTGTTTTCTGTTGAAGAGCTGCTTTAAGTACAATATATTGTGGATTTGGGACACAGTGAAGAAGCTTGTAACACCAGTTTTTTGGCTAATTATCCTTGAATAGCATAGGCCTCTCTTAGCAGCCTGGTGTGAAATCACATCCACACATATAGTAGTTAGTGGTTATAGTATAAAGTATACAGTATAAAGGAAGTTATACAGGAAAATGCCTTGGAGCACATCTGTGTATATCACGTTAGTTTTCTGCCAAAAGCCTCTACTCATTCTTTACCACTCTGCTGGTGGCTGGTGTTAAGTTCTCGCCCTTGTGGTGACACACATATACAAAGATGACTAATATACATTACGTTAGACCTGCAGTAGGTTTTTGTGATTGTGGTTGTGGGAAAGACCTGTGTTGCACACAGGCTCAGGGTCATCTGGTATGAAACAATCATGAGAGGGAGAGTGAAGGATTTTGCAAGTGAATGTACAAGGAAGCAATAAGCGACGGGCAGACGAGGTGGCTCAACATAGCTTGGTTTTTCCGCTTTTTTTTCTTTTTTTTGGCACAGCGAGTAGGCCGTGTCAGTGCAATGTAGAGAGCCAACAGATCCCCGAGCAGCAACACACAACCAAGCTGAAAGAGAAGCACGACACTGCCTCAGAATTTTCGCAGCTGAGAACATGCCCACTGCTCATATCCCTGATGGTGTAAAATAAAATTATTTAATACCATGAATGACTAGCTGGCTTCACCGCCTTATTAGCTATTAATGACATTTCTGCTTGGACAGATTTATGTACATTACTGAATAATAATGCACACATCTCTAGAGAACAAGCCAATCTGCTGCATATTTCATCACTGCACAAGTCTAATTCTTCAGTCAGTTGATCAGTATTCATGTGGCTTGGCATAATTTTTGGCATTTCCATGCTGTTGAACTACAACTCTTTTTCATTTAGCTTTCAGCTACTGTATATTTTTAATCATTTAGTGTGATCGGGGGAGAGATTAGATGAAGATGCTGCAGGTATGTTTGTAGCAGGAAATTCAATCCTAAAGTTCTCTCTCACTGTTGGTTGTAGTTGCTGCTTTACATAGTGGAATCTGCCAGGCTTGTTGTTTCACAGCAAAAAGATGTGAAAAAATAAACCTTTACTTGTCTATTTGTGTCGATGTCCTTGGGGAAAGAGGCAAAGCAGTCAGTGGTTACACATCACACCCTATCCATGGCATAAAATCCCAAACCATCAAGACAAATTGTCACATACTTAGGCAGCAATGGTTGAAAACAGCATCTGCAGAGCAATAATATACATATATTCTTCACAGACCTAAGTCAAAGCCTTATTTGTCTCCTGGTAAGCTATGAAGTGCACCTCTGCTGTATGGTTCTATTTAACTTCATTTACCCTTATATTAGGTGAGCATGTGGTTATTCAAATTTCTATAGCGCAACACCTTGTTCACATCTTTACACATTGTCAGGTTGAAAGAGCTTGGATGTCATTTGCAGCAGATTGGTTCTTCTTTGTTGCTGTCCATACTGTTTCCCAAAAACTGATAACTGGGTAACGCCTGGGATTTTTATGCTAATAACATGCCGCCAACATACTCCAAATTAGCAAAAAGATCACTGCTGTTTGACATAACATGCAACCGCCATCTTTCCACAATAAATGAGCTAACAGGAAATATCCAGGACATGAATGAGTTGCATGTAGTTTGATGGAAATGAAATTAAATTATTTAATAGGTTTTTTTGCTGAAAGATTCTGAAGGCGATTTGCTGCCTACTGCTAACATGAAGTAACTTTTATCCAAAGAAATTGTGGGCAATGTTATGTTTTTCACATCCTGTAGGAGGGAATGTTTTCCTCTGATGTTCTGGGGAGGAGGAAAGACGAAGGCATGTAAAAATCAAAACAACGGACAAAGCTGTGAACAAGGCGTAATGACGAAGTCTGATACCATCTGATAAAAGATGCAAGAAACTGCCTCGTCTGAAGAGGAGGTGCTGAGACACAGTGATGTTTGAGAATGAGCTCGTGCCCATCCGCCTACTTCCTGTCAAAAAGCTGACACTTCCTCCCAGCGATGTTGCTAGACTCAGCTGCACTAATTATAGCGCCAAGTCCAACCAAGTCTGCAGTATTCTGCCTCAACTGCAAAATTGTGCTTAGGAGTTTATGTCCCAGAAGTGTTAAGGCTTTTTAAATCTCAATACCAGACATTTTCCAAGTACTAAGGATCTATACCGATAAAGTTTAACAAGATGAATGACAAGATGTTAAGAGCTGTTTTAAAGGTGTACATATTCACAAATTAGCACAATCAAGTAAGTTTCAAAATAATTAGAGTAATGGTAAAAAGAATTGGCCTGGTATTGGTGTTTTTTGCCCAACTCATAGGATATGTTTAGCTTTTTGAGTTGCAGAGGAAAGGTTCACAAAGCACCTAATTACGGTTGAATCACATTTACATCGCAAGACATGTCAATTCATAAAAAGTAGTCAGTTTAGTCAGTCCTAGCCAGTTTAGTATAAATAAAATACTGTATGCATTTTTCAGTTGTGATCCTGTTAAAATCACTACAGCTGCAAATATGTTGATTTATGCTAAAAATACAGTACAAGACATTTTCTGGACTCTCTCTAAAAATGGATATGGAAAATGGTGAATTGGCACCATAAAGCCCAACCATGTACTTCAGTGCTCTGCGAACCTAACCTTCAGTGGCCCCTTGTCGTTCCTGTCATTGGGAGCCAGTAAGGATGAGGGATTAGCATTTGTGTTAGCTGCAGTTAATGGAGCCACAGGGTAGCTATAGCGAGCAGGAGTGACAGCCCTAAGGTGGAGGCCAAGGAGGCGGCTAGGAGCCTGCCATCATTCACCACCCTGAAGGAGATAACCTCCACCTTGAATCCATCCTCAGTGGCCATGCAGCGGAAGACGCCTTCCTTGAGGGGCGTATCAACAATCGGCCCCAAGACACAGAAATCCCCGGAGAAGAGGCAGGGATAGTTCTTAATGCAGTTATCTTTCTCCCAGCGGTAGGTGGCATGGAAGGAGCGCACAGGGCAGGGGAGAAAGATGGTTGTATTGGAAGGCAGCACCACTTCTTTGGGGGAAGTTCGACGCTGCTTCAGAGCTGTAAGGGCAAAGGAATAAAAAGTTTCATGCCAAAATTAAGAATTTTAAATATGAGGTTTATAAAAATTTTATACAGTAAGTGATACCACTGGCTGTGGACTCCTGTAACAACATAATAGTGATTTAACTCATGTCTAGATAGTTTTTATATTTGCAGTTGTTTAATTTTTCTTGTCCAGGGCTGGGTTACAAACGCACAACTACCTCAGGGTCCCAAAGCTCTTGAATTCCCCATATTCATTCCTCAACAATTGCTTCATCCAAATCATCAACATGTCTCTTCAGCCTTGTTTAGAATTGGTATGAAAATGTGTCTCACTGATCCGAACACAAGTGTGTGAACAGCTAAAACACATCACTGTTTACATCTGTCAATATACACGTTTCACTACAGTGTCAGCTGACCACTTACGTTCCGATTTTGTTACTGCTGCAACACTTCTGCTTAAATTTCAAAAGGCCACAGGCACAATTATTACTTTAGGCTGTTACCAGGCAAGCACCACTACTCTCCCTAACCAAAGAAGAAGAAAAAGCATCAGATTTGTACATGGATGTATTATGAAAGCTTTCCATTGAAGAGCCATTTTGTGAACACAAGAGACAAAACACAACAATGATTTGTGTGAAATTTTTTCAGTCAGGATTTAGAGTCCATCATAGTACAGAAACTGCACTGGTGAAAGTCACCAACAATCTCCTCCTAGCCTCAGACAAAGGACTCATCTCTATACTTGTCCTCTTAGATCTCAGTGCTGCTTTTGACACCATTGATCAAAACATCTTTTTACAGAGACTTAAACATGATATTGGGATTAAAGTAGTCACACTAAGTTGGTTCAGATCTTATTTATCAGACAGACTCCAGTTTGTTCATGCTAATGATGGAAATTTTATGCAAACTAAAGGTAGTCATGGCGTTCCATAGGGCTCTGTGTTAGGTCCAGTTCTCTTCACTTTGTACATGCTTTCCATAGGCAACATTATTAGGAAACAGCATACATTTTTCTTGCTACACAGATGATACTCAGCTATATCTTTCTATGAACCCGGATGAATCAGACAAAATTGAAGTTATTGTACTTGGGCCTGAAAACCTTAAAAATCTGCTGTCTAACTATACAGTTACTCTAGATGACACAGCCCTGGCCTCCAGTACTGCTGTGAGGAACCTTGGAGTCATTTTTGACCAGTCTCCAGAACTGCTTTCTTTCACCTGTGCAATATCGCCAAAGTCAGGAGCATCCTGTCTCAAAGTGATGCTGAAAAACTGGTCCATGCCTTTGTTACTTCCAGGCTGGACTACTGTAACTCTTTACTATCAGGATGTCCCAATAATTCCCTAAAAAGCCTCTAGTTAATCTAAAATGCTGCAGCCAGAATCCTGACAAGAACTAGGAAGAGAGCTCATATTTCTCCCATATTAGCTTCTCTCCATTAGGTCTATGGAAAATCCAGAATAGATTTTAAAATCCTCTTAACATACAAAGCCCTTAATGACAAGGCTCCATTGTATCTTAAAGACCTCATAGAGCCTTATCATCCCAAAAAAGCACTTCACTCTCAGAGTGCAGGTCTAGGCTTCAAACTTTACCTTCATCTGATGATGACATAAACTGACTTTGGCAGAAGCACCTGTGAAGACCGTCATCTGATCATTACACAAAAACTGGTACCATATGTCAGCTTTGGAAGCGATCCACATCAAGACATAAAAATAAATTACTTTTAATAAAGCTTTGAATTTTTCAACACGTATGCCTGGGCTCTAGTAAGAATGATTCTCTGCACCACAGTATAGTAATCACAAAACAAGACATCCACAGCCAAGAGTTAGCATATTAATTATAAAACTATGTTGTTATATGGTTTTCCATCTTGCCTTTCAATTCAGAATTGACACACTGTCCAGGGGCTCGTATAACAAGTACCTTCTGATGTATTTCTATAGTAAACATCTGAGCAATGTTATATCTCATCTTGCCCCATCATGCACTTTTCATAATACTGCACCATATTACTGCAAACTACTGTTCACTGCAAAACAAGAACAATGCTACTCCATGTCTTCTATGTGGATCAGTAATGGACGAGGATGATGACTGCATTTTCCACGGACTTGTCACTGTAGCTTCGCCTTTCTAAGGTACTGAATTATGACAAGAATTCAGTATAGAATATGTGTAACAAAGCCATCACATGTATAGTGCTATGCAAAGGTTTTTGGTACTACAGATATTTTGTTTGTTTCCCATCACATATTAAAATCAGTGTGGCATCTGATTGATTCCAGATCCATTCTTCAATAAGCTCAAATATTCAGCCAGAATCATAAGGAACTGTCTTTACTGACAAGTGCAAGAAGTGCTGCAACAAATTGTACACCATCTACAGTGTCCTGATTTCAATATCATGGAGGCAGTCTGGAACTACTAATATAGAACAAAAATGAAAAGGTCTAGTTTTAAACTCTGCAGTGTTTTGTGTAATTGCTGGCCTAATATTAGTTTGCTCCAAGACAACCATTAGACATTAAACATTTAAATAAATTGCTTCTTATTGGCTCTAAGTATTGTTTTCTGGAGTGGCAGACCAAAGCTTGTTACTGCAGGAAATCTGGCCACCAACACAAGTAGAAATAAATGAAAAAAAAGATCACTTTGGGAGATAGCTTTACCTTCAGAAAGGAGTAATTGTCATGATTACTCAAGGTTATAAGTGGGTTTTGAGCTTTAGAACAGGGCAACCCATGACATAAAAAAATCTCTCCCTGCGGGTTGTTGGACTCAGCTCAATTATTTGATAATCATCTTTTTACTCTAGCTGCTCAGAAAGGTTCCTATTTTGGTTTAATTAAGCTACAGAAAGACTGGAAGAGAGCAGATAAGGGCTCACCAGCAGCTTCCCCGCAAACAGAAGAGTTGGAATGGTCCAGATTCTGAATGAGTTCCCTGTTGGAAAATAATAGAGAGAGCAAATTAGCAGCATTAAATAGTTTCATAAATGGCTTATGAGCCTCCACATCAACCTACTGTGACTCGCAAATTAAAACATGCACAGACAAAGCATTCAACAATGTCATGGTGGGAAAGCAAAAAAAAATGTGTCAGAGGCGTAATACTGCAAATTATTGATTTTCATATTCTTTCTTAAAATTGGAAATGCACAAGACCCGGAGCCAGAGCAATTTACTAACTGAAAAATGCTGTCAAAACTTTTGTACATGCATATTTGGTGATTTTAGTCATCGTCATGTTTCTTTACAATCAAAGCAAGTCTCACCACCTCTGGGCCACTACTGACAATCAGAAGACAAGGTGTTATTTCTTTAATTGTAGATTTGACAGGACAAAGTGAGCATGTGAAACTGTTTATGTGTGCCCTCTGCTCTCTTGTCGGCTCTTGTAAAACCAGCCAATAGTACTACAGTTAATCATACTTAGATGTGACGTTGTATCCCGGTGGGATGGTGATGCATTTCCTCCGGGCCCTGTCCCAGCCACAGTATGGATCCCGGGAAAGAATGCACTCTCTACATGTGTTGCCATAGCGACCACAGTCAGCCAGTGGCAGTCGCTGGACCTCCATCGCTGTACCAACATAAAGGTGTCCCTGAGGAGGACAAAATACAATACAGTGAACTTATGAACTCAACACTACTGGAATCTATCAGTCAGTGTTGAGTCATTGTTTAAAGATATAGTTTCTCCCCTAAATGTGTCATCTTTGTAGAATAGCACAGCCCCTGAAACAGTGACATTTTGGCAATTATACTCAAGAAATGCTAGGTTACATAGTTTTCTGATATTTTTAAATGACCAGTTTTTATGATTTTTTTTCTGTATCTCTTTTCAGAAAAAATACCTTCAATGCAAATTTAATTAATCTAATATGATGCAGCATAAACAGTGGAATCAATTTTCTGTATGGCCTTAAAAGAAAGATTTATTGTTTCAATTTTCTATCAAAGTCTGAACCAAGGAATATAAATCACATTTCTTTCCTTCCTCCTTTCCTCCCACAACCAAGACAGGAGTCCGGTCACACACACACACACACACACACACACACACACACACACACACACACACACACACACACACACACACACACACACACAGACACTAGTCTCCATACCTTTTGAGAGTCAATAGCCATGTTTAGAACGGGACCCTCATTGTGAAACAAAGAGTACTGAGATATGATGAAGACCTCCTCACTGGTGTGAAGAACTTTCAGAACTTTGCCTTGTTCTGTAGAAGCAAAGGAGAAGAGGAATGGAGTGGAGAGAGGCATCACAGGTCTGTGGTCTTTATAAACCTATCTGAAAGTGCACAACTACTTGGAATCATATGTCAAAATTGTTTTCTGTTTTGTTGCTGTGCTTGCTCTGCTGTTCAAAGTGTATGAATACATGGGTTTGACTTGGACAGCTTCCACTCCTAAAGGAGCCTGGAAAGCCAAAGGCAAAACTGCAGTCTAGAGTTTCAGAGATTTTTTGAACAGAGCTGCTCTGGAATGTTAAAAAGTGTAACTGTACTTTTTTTCACCTCTATCAATGGAGCCAAAACCACAGCACTGGCTTCAGTAATACACTACAGGAGCTGAGGCTCTTCAGGGTGGGGTGAAGTGAAAAAAGTCAGGCTCCTCAGAAGTCCTTGAATAACATTCAGGAGGGGCAAGCAAGACATGTTTGGAACTTCAGCCCAGAAATCATGGCGCATTAAATGTAATAAAACATTAATTCTGGCCTGTGGCTGGGATCTTTTCCCTAGAAACAGTGGATGAGTTTCTTTGATGTTTAAATCGATGAAAACAGTGATTCCTCATATAATAAGTGGACAAATTTTCAACCACTGGTCACAGTCTTATAGTTTAAAATGCGGATTGCAAACTGGCAACCTCAACTGCAATGCCCATGGCATCGCAACTGGTTTGTGGCAATGTAGTTTATTAAAAGTAACTTTTGGAATCTGCAATACTAGGACATAAAAACACCTGACATCATCAAGGCTGAGCTGGGTTCTGCTATGTCAAAATCTAATATTACAGTTCTATTTCGTATAGGCTTTGCCCTCTAAGAGCTGTCGCTATTGGGTTTATCCCTCGAGTATGCGCAGTCCTGAAGAGGTACTTTCGCGCCCTGTGCCCTGCAATGGGCTATCCTCAATTAGGTCCGCAGCAGCAGTATAACTGCCACTGTGACCTAAGCTCGCCTCCCTCTTTTTCTTCAACAGTTTTAAAGAGCATTCTCATAAGAGAACAACTATGGCTAAAGAGCAACTCTCCTCCCTGCTGTCACCGTATGCCTCGGCTGTGACACGGGCTTCATCCTGCCCAGCAACCCGCACCCCCACTGCGAAGACTGTCTCGGTGCTGAGCACGCCGAGCTGGCCCTCTCCCTCCAGGCTGCTTGCCCATTCTGCGCTTGCCTGTCGGTAGCGGGGAAGCAGCGGAGAGTGAATGCTTTTGCTGCGATGAAGGAGAATGGCCCAGACGATGGCCTCTCCTGGGCCTCTCGTGGTGACAGCCCCGTGGCGGAAGCCCTGCTAGAGTTCCTGGAGTTCTTGGGGCCCGGGTCCAATGACCCGTTTCCCCCCATAGCCAGCTCCCCAGTTCTACGATCCACGACTTGCCGGGAATTATCGCCAAGGCAGCAGGTCGTAAAGGCATCCCTATTCCTGCGGCTGGACCACCTCCCACCCCCTCAGACATGGTGGGAGATCACTACAGAGAGGAGCAACTGAGTAAGCCCCCCCCAGTCTGGCCCACCCTC